GAACGTAATCAATGTTTCCGAACTGTGCATGAAGAAATTGTTGGAATGGTGTATGTTTTGTTGTGCATATTCTAAACAACAATAAAAGTAAAATATTCACATTGAAATTTGTATAGGGGATTCTATATATAATAGCTTAATAATCTCCTCTTAGGAAAAAAGGCATGAGATATTTTGCAGTCTCTGAAATTTCCCAATCAAGTTTAATAGATGAGTTTTAAATCAGTTCAAAATGTAAATATGTATAAAACAAATGTATGAAAGGATCGTAAGAAAACAGAACTGAAAATATATACCAAAGAACCACAATGTCATGAAATTTACCATCTGGAATATCATAAGAAACTTTCATCAAAATTAATCAAATCAGGCTCTGGTACTAGAGCAGTTTTTTTAAACACCTAACTTTTATATTTTAAAAGTGATAATAACACTTCATAGCAGAAGTGTTATTTCTGTCTCTTCTTAATTTTTCCCATTTGCTAGGCCTCAAACTGCATTGTCACTGACTCCATAAAAACCTTAGGTAATTTTCTAGATCCCATCAGCATTCTTTAAGGATATGGAAAAAAAAAAAAAAAATCAGTAATTTTATATGAAAAGGAAAGAGACCTCACATAAGCAAAGCACTATTGAAGAAGTAGAATAAAGTAGGAGGTCTCACACTCCCGGATCTCAAAACCTATTAGACAGTCACAGTAATCAAAGCAGCCTGGTACTGGTACAAGGATAGACACACAGACCAGTAGAACAGAATTGAGAACCCAGAAATAGATCCATCGACCTATGGTCAGCTGATTTTTGACAAAGGGCTGAAATCCATTAAATGGGGGAAGAGATGGTCTCTTTAACAAATGGTGCTGGCAAAACTGGATATCCATCTGCAGAAAAATGAAACAAGATCTGTACCTCCTACCATACACAAAAGCTAACTCCAGATGGATCAAAGACATAAATGTGAAACCTAAAACTATAAAGTTCCTCAAGGAAAAAATAGGGGCAAATTTAGGGGTCTTAATTAAGAGCGTAAACAGACTGTCAAGCATAACCCAAAATGCACAAACAACTGAAGATAAACTAGATGAATGGGATCTTCTAAAAATTAAATTTTTATGTGTTTCAAAAGACTTCTCCAAAAGAGTCAAAAGAGAACCTACAGACTGGGAAAAAAATATTCAGCAACAAATACCTGACAAGGGACTTATCTCTAAAATTTATAGAAAACTTCAGCACCTCAACAACAAAAAGATTAACAATCCAATTAAGAAATGGGCAGAAGACATGAATAGACACTTTACTAAAGAGGATACTTAGGCAGCCAACAAATACATGATGAAATGTTTACAGTCATTAGCCATCAAAGAGATGTAAATCAAAACAACGAGATACTATCTCACCCCAGCACTAATGACAAAGTTGAACAAGACAGAAAATAACCATGCAACAGAAAGGATAATGCAGAATATGCAAAACATGGATGAACTTGGAGGATATTATGCTCAGTGAAATAAGTCAATCACAGAAGGACAAATACAGTATTAGTTCATTATGGTAAAAACTCAAGGAAAGGTTTACATATGGAAGGAAGGAAACTTTCTTTATTGGTTACGAGGGATGGGAGGAGAGGGGAGAGAACACTGGGGGAAAAAAAATGCATTGACTCATATCACTTTAATTTTGTGCATTTCACTGTAAATTATATTTCAATAAAATGTATTTTAAAAAAAATCTTGGGTAATTTAGAAAATATGTACTTACCTGATAAATTTAAATGATAGGATTTGCATTAGCCAATCTAAATAATTCTGGTTAAAAAACAATCTTATTTTCTCAATGTTTTTGGCCTCAATTATTTGTATGCCTTAACCATACACTTTATTTTTTCTGTATAGAAAATATTTAGGTTATTAATTTTATCCATGCCTTAAATTATTTAACATTCAAAGTGATAGTACCTTTCCTCCTTGAGTTGGGTAAGCATTCACACTCTCCTCTGACAGAGACTTTACAACTCTTTATCCGACAGAAAAAGGATCGTCTTGAGCCAGAATATACATGTGTCCTTCTAGCATAAAAACTATTGTGAACTTGCAAACCAGCTTTCATGGCAGAAGGGGGCAAGAGAAGAGGCAGAAAAGAATATGTTCAAATAATTGTGAAATTTATTTCTGAATGTTTTTTAGTAACCTATTACATTTTTGTCTAGTGTAGACCTTACAGGACAGAGTAGCACTTCTCCATAGGGTTTCCAAGGCTGTAGTCTTTATGGAAGCAGATTGTCTCATCTTTCTCCTACAGAGTGGCTGGTGGGTTCAAACTACCAACCTTTTGGTTAGCAGCCAAATGCTTAACCAGTATGCTCAGTCTCTGCTCCACCAAGGTCACTATGAGTCAGAATTGACTAGACAGCACAAAACAAACATTACATTTTTATACAAATTTGTTTAAAAAAGAAATGATTGCTTAAAGCAATGACATGATTGCACACTAAACCCCAAAGTGAAACTATAAAAAAATACATACACTTGTCAAGCAATTACATTTTGATCGCTTATAAACATTTGCAATTTATCTTTACCGTTACCCCAGAGAGTGAATAACAGAAATAATTTAAATAAAACAAAATAAAAATGAAGTGAAAAAAACCTGAGATATAGCAGCAATCCATGAAACAAAGCTTTACTATTTTTATGTTCTAAATAATCACTTGGCACTCAGCATTTTCAGAGAAGAAAAGAAATACTTTACACTTTCCCAAGCATACACGGTTTTTTGTACCAAGTAAACCTAACACATATAAGAAAAAAACAATCATTTCTCAGCATATAGCTAAATAATTAAGACTTCAGCAATTTTTAACCTAAAATAAGATACTTTTCAATAAAAAAAATAAAATACTTTCTTGTAAAGCTTTTATTAGCCTGGGAAAAACAGAAAATATAAATTAATCATATTTTCTCAAAGCGTCTTCATATGAACATATGTTCTTATATGTGTGTATGATATAGAATTGCTCTATACAGCTTTGTTGATATTTTTTCTCATCTGCTTAATTTTTTTTTAGCTTTTTATTGTGATTTGGGTGAAGGTTTAAAGAGCTTATTAGTTTTCCATTCGACAATTCATACTCATTTTGTTTCATGCCATTGATTACAATCCCCACCATGTACACCAATCATTCCATTTCCTCCCTGTGTTTCCTGTTTCTATACCTCTTTCTTTCTTAACCCTTCCTGCCTTCTGAACTCTGTCCTTGGGTAAATGCTTCCCTTTTGATTTCAAATGGTTGATTGTTCTAAAGTATACTAATTTTTTTTTAACTCTGAATGATTTTTTAACTTATTTATAAAGTTTACTAAATAATTCTCTTGACAATTACCTGTTTAAAAACACTGTGCCACTTTACTTTTAAATAATAATTATATTTACATAAAATAGTTAGTATGCTGAAATGAGCACTTACTTTTGGCATCTGTGAACTTCTTACTTGGTGTAATAACAGAAGAAGAAAATTGTTCCTTCACTTTGGCAACATCTTTGGGATGTAAGAAGTCAAATAAGCTTTGTCCAGTCAAACTAGCCTATTCATATGATAGACAGATGTTCATTTTAAATTAGTAATATAATTTTCCTACTTTTTCTCATACAAACATATGATAAATTCCTTTTCCTTTATTAAAGTTGCTTTTTCTTAAGTTCAAAGACCCATCTACTATATTGTGTAATATTAACTTAGTGCTAGAAGCAGGGTGATATTTGTACAAAGGAAAAAATATATGAATACAGAACCATAACCAGATACACACAATCCAATACTAATACCTAATCAGTAATGTCCTGTTAACTCCAGACTAATAAAAACCATCAATATCATCTAAATCACATCTTCTAAATTATATTATGATTTACTTTTAACTTTTTCTTCCTGGGTGAAGAGAGAGAGATAATATCATAGTACAATATAGAAGTATTAGAACATTGGTGATTTTATATTGTGACTCAGAGAGTTGCCATACTATTAAAAAACAAAATCCAACCCAGAACACTTACCCTTTTCCATCCCCACCTCCCTTCCCCTGACTACGCACAGCTTTCCTGGTATACACCTTTGCTCACAAGGTCTCATCACCTGGACATTACCCTTGCCCTACAAAGTCAATTTTCTGACCACTCCACCACTTCAGTTAGTTGCCTTTTATTCCTAGACTCCTCTCCTGGCCCAACATGTCTTCCTTCCTTTTTCTGCTCATCTTAAAGACACCTTTCGGACAGGCCTAGCAGGTATTTGTGAAGCCCTCCATGACCCGTAGCTATCACCCCTCTTGTGAATTCCTTTTTCATCCAAGTAGATATTCCTATACAAGAAGTGTGGATTGCCTGGCAGTTAGATATTGCATACTGAAAAAATGAGCAGTCTGATTTATGCATCAGTCTATTTTGTATTTCGTTAACATAAGTCTATGCCTAGAGTTTGACCAATTCTCTGCTTCAGAGCAAATCAAGTTTCTGAATCTAAAAAGTTGAGGACCAGATCCTGCATCATGGGAATCTGAATATCCTTCTGAAGCAGCCAGTGAGTCTCTAGGATGGCCTTTCATATGCAAAGTCAGTGCACAGTGGGATTGCACTCTATGTCACTAATGTGAAACTTAAGTGAATTGTAAGTTATCTTAGCACATGCATGAGGTGTGTGTACTGTTCTGCATCTTCAATTAGAAGATGGAATATTCAGGTAATGCACTGTTTTTGTGTCCTCAACCATTGCATGATTCATGTGGCTCTCTACCCTTCTTTCTACAGTCACATAATATCTCTTTTTCTGTTACATAACTCAGTACCTATGAATGTCTAATATTCTCCCAAATTTTTAAGTTTGTGGGGAAAAGAGCTTGAAGTTAATGGAAGTTATTCAAGATAAAAGCTGTGGTCTATTTTAAGAGAGTCTAGAGATGCTAGTTTCTTTCTTCTGTTGGATCAGTTTCAGTGTTATTGTTTTTGAATAACTAATTTATACTAAATTGTGTTCAATAATGAGGTAAAGTAATTACCAAGCTAGTTAAATAAAAGACATATTTTAGAGTCTATTGCCAGACATTAGACTAAAACTGTTATGTAATACATATAATGGTAATAATGTAGCCTCTTGGAGGAGAGTCAGGAGGAAATGGAGGAATAGGAAGGAATAGGAGGAAATGGAATGTGAGGCTAATTGCCTCCATGAACAAATGCCTCCTTTGCCATGAGACTAGAAGAACTGGATGGTGCCCAATTACCATTACTGAACATTTTGATCAAAGACTCTATAGAAGAATCCTGATCAAAAGAAAGAAAAATTCTAAATAGATTTTCAAATTTTCATGGAATCCAGACTTCCTGGAGCCATTGAGGCTGGATGAACCCCTGAAACTATTGCTCTAAGATAATCTTTAAACCTTAAACAAAATATGCCCTGAAGTCTTCTTTAAACAACAATTTAGCTTACACAAAAGCTAAAGGAAAGGAAAAAATGTCTGCCTTGACCATTATGCTCTTTTAAGATCCATCTATATGGGATTAAATTGACATTAGCAACTTGAAAGTTTCAATAGGAAACTTGGGGGCAGTGATTTTATGTCATTGGAGGAGGAACAATTCTAAAAGGGAGGGTAAGAATGGTTTCAAAACTTGAAGAATGTAATCAATGCCACTTAATTGTACACATAGAAATTATTGAATTGGTATATGTTTTGCTGTGTATATTTTTAACAACAATTTTTAAAATGTTAATAATAATAATAATGTTGCCTCTTGGAGGAAATAGAGAAAGGTTGCTGGCATTTTTCAGATACTGTCAACTATGAAACTGCAGTAAGTCTTTACATCCTGAGAAACAGGTATAATCATCATTCCCACCTTTCTAAGGAGGAGAATGAGGTTCAGTAAAAATAAGTAACTTGCTGAAGGTCAGAAAGTGAACATTAATCCCACTAGTGAAAATCCATATTCTCTCTCCAGCTCTCTTGGAGCTCTGATTTTGCAGAACCTTGTCCTATATCCCAATGGGAAGAAATGATTCAAGAAAAGAACTATAAAATGTGTTTGCTTGAAAAACTAAACACTGTGTAGGAAATATCTTCAGTATGGGATACCTGATCATAATTAAGAGTTTTGGAGACTGATTTAGAAACGAAGAGAATTTTTCCTCTTTCACATCCAACCACAAATAGGAAGCCTTCTGCAGTCTAGGATTTAACAACAAAACAAAAAAAAGTTAATATTTAAAAATAGCTGTCTCACTCAAACATACATTTAGATTTAGAGGAAAATACTGTGGCAAAAAAACTAACGGAGTGGCCTAAAAAGCCTAGTAAAATAATTTTAAGAAATTTTCTTAATATATAAAAAATATAAATAACAACAAATTGAATGCCAGTCTAATGTTTTTGACATGAAAATTCAGTTATGGCACATTCTTTTTTTTTTTTTTTTAAATTGTGATTTGGGTGAAAGTTTACAGAGCAAACTGGTTTTTTGCTCAACAATTCAGACACATTTTGTTTTGTGACATTCATTGCAGTCCTCATAATGTAACAGCACTCTTTCCACTTCCTCCCTGTGTTTACCATTTCTCTTCATCCTTCTTTCCTATACACTCCTTCTGAGCTTTATCTCTGGGCAAACGCTGCCCTTTGATCAAATATAGTTGATTACTCTAGAATGTGTACCTCCCTAGTATTACTGTTCACCCTGTAGGCTGAAACTCAAGCCACAGGAGTGAGTTCAGTTCCAGGCTTGAAGGGTGCCTAATGGTCATAGTCTTGGGGGTTCCACCAGTCCCTATCAGACCAGTGAGCCTGGTCTTTTTTAGCAGCCAGGAAATATTCAGTTGGGATATATCCTAATGTAAGAATTATCTTTACCAAATTCTACTATACTCTATAAGGAGCTCTGATTATGCGGTTAAAGCATTTGGCTGCTAACATTTTTGTGTTTGTATTTGTCAGCAGTTCAAATCCACCAATTGCTTTGTGGGAGGAAGATGAGGCAATCTTCTTCTGTAAAGATTTACAGCCTTGGAAATGCTATGGGTCACTATGAGTTGGAATCAACTTGATGGCAGTAGGACAATACTTTATTGGGCATACTCTACAAAGATATCAAAAAACTTCAATAACAATGACTGCATGTGGAATTGTTGGGGTGGAAGGACTATGCAGATGGAGGACAAGGAAGGGATGAAGACATGTATTATACATATTTTTAAACTTTTTGGTATAGTTTTTTTGAAAACTAAATTTTAAAAATTCTAAGTATCAACTACTCCTTTAAGTTCTACCCAACAAATCCCCAATGAAGCAACCTAAATGGTTAAGACACTGAGAACCAAGAAGTTAGTGGTTCAAGTTCACCCAGAGTTCCGTCAGAAGAAAGACCTGGTGATTAACTTCTGAAAAATCAAACACAGAAACCTCTACTGGGCACAGTTCTACAGTGGCACACACAGGGGCCCCAGGATTCTATGGCAACTGCTTTTTATTTTATTTTATTTTTTAAATATATGGATACATAGGATAAGTCTGGCACTCTCAATTTGGCATTTTCTTGGACTAATTTTTATGAACTGAAAACAAATATGAGATAAATTAGGTGGATATGTTTTAGTCCAGTAAGGGGGCAATACCAAGGTTATGTGAAGTTACAACTGAAAAAAAGATTGGCGAGAAAGCCTTCAAGCTATAGCACATTCCATTATCTTTAAAATTATTTTTGTTATTTGCAAAAATCCTTTATGCTTCTGTCAGGAATACTGTGTTTAAATTCAGCTATTCAAATAAAAGAGTGGCTTTTAAAAGAAATTTCCAAAAAAGAAAAATAGACAAAAATATATATGAAAAATCCTTCTATACAATCACACTAGGGCTTAATACCCAGTTGTATTAGCACGTGAACAGGTACGTATCAACTCCTGGGAACAGTGTATGGTGATTTCATGATTATATTTTCTATGTCAAATAGACTGGTAAGTCTGAAAACCATGCATATGAAGTGATAAAGACAGAAATGTCAAAGCATCAACCAAGTGACTCGTTAAAACCAGTGACTGGCTACTCTACAGAGAAGAGGATCCTGAAGGAATGGGATCCAGGGTAAACTGGCTTTGAAGGAGTGGCAATAGTGGAGGATAGAGTCTACAGTGTAATAAATGAATTCATTGGGCAATGAAGGAAGAAAGCATTGAAGACAAATTTTGCTTCATATTTTGGAAAGTACCTATCTTCTGTCTCTACTTTCATTAGCCCAAACTAATAAGGCATAAACCAAAAAAAAAACCAAACTCACTGCTGTCGAGTTGGATCTGACTCCCAGTGACCCCTCCTTGGGATCCCGAGGCGATATCACTGCAGAAGTAGATTCCCCAAACTTTCTTCCAAGGAGTGGCTAGTGGGTTTGAACCACCAGCCCTCTGGTTAGCAGTCAAATGCCTTAGGCAGTATGCCATCAGAGCTCCCAAACTCACTGCCGTGGAGTTGGACCCTACTCATAACGTCCCCTCTTAGGGTTTCTGGGGGGTATCACTACAGAAGTAGATTCCCCAACCTTCCTTCCAAGGGCTGGCTGGTGGGTTTGAACCGCCAGCCTTCTGGTTAGCAGTCAAATGCCTTAGGCATAGCTACCTCTATAACTAGGAGCTCTGGTGGCGTAGTGCCTAAGGCCTGTGACAGCTAACCAGAAAGTTGGCGGTTCAAACCCACCAGCCACTCCTTGGAAGGAAGACTGGGCAATCTACTTCCATAGTGATACTGCCTTGTAAACCTAAGGCAGGATTGCTATGAGTTGATGGCAGCCGAGTTTGGTTTTTTGGTTTGGTGACTTCTATAACTTAATTTCTATATTAAAATAGGGTTTAATGTAAAATTATGTGTGTTAATAACAAGAAGGAAATTAAAGAAAATCTATCTCCCACTTAAATAAAAAACAATGAAAGGGCAAATACCACTTAAACAAATCTATCACTCTACTTACCTTAAGAATTAAGTGTTTGAGCTCATTATCCTGAATAAATGAAGGCCTGCAATTATCTCCTATGTAAGAATCTGTCATGCCTAAAAATAAGTCAAAAGTTATTGAAAATATATTAGAGAGGTAAATGTAGTCAGTGCTTAATAAATGTTTACAATGTTGCTGCTGTTATTGTTGACAATGATGGTGATGGCATTTTCTCTTTAGTGGCCTATAACACCCCTTCTGTAGTCATTCCCTTTCTTCACTGTTACCATATTAAAATATCTTGTATTTGGATCATAAACTCCCAGAACTATTTATTCCCTTTTACTTAAAGGTGCAGAGAGTAAGAGCTTTAAAAGAAAGCATCTCAATAAAATACACATACAACAATATTCAAGAATACACTCGCTCCTCAATAGCATAAATAGTTTCCAAAGATCAAGTGGTTACACAAAATGCGAAAATGGAGCATCCTAAATCAAATCACAAAATGGAGAATGACCATTATTACATAACTGCCAAATTGTATCATTAAATAACTGCCAAACCACTGAGGATCATGGCCCAGCCAAGTTGACGCATAATCTTCACCATCACAGCCAGTATTACTTTTGCCTTGTATTTTGGCATTTTTACTGCCAGATGTACGATTTAATGTGCAAAATAGTCAGATAGTAGATTTTTTATTATGGTCATAAATACAAAATGTTAGACAATGAGATTGTCAACAAGTGAGGAGTGGGTATACAGTTATTTTTATAATTACTTATCTTATTGAAACTGATCATATCAATTGTTCTGAATGCTGAGATTCTGGAATTCTGAACACATTTTATGGAGTCATAGGATTTTCAAGTAAGAAAGTTCCTTTAAAAGTCATGAAAACTTCTGATAATACACAAAAACATATAAAAGATAAATGAAATAACTCATTTTAATCCCACAGCCCAGAGCTTATTATATTTAACAGAAAGTCTCTAAAGCAACTGAAGAGCTGTCAAAATGATGTGTAGTCATCAGGTCAAAACCCACATGAAAGTCTGATTGGAGAGAAGGAAGCACTAAAACTACATTTGCCTTGAAGGCATCCACCAATGCTGACGCACCAAAGCCCTTCACAGCCACAGGGAGGTATAGAGGACAGAGGTGGGATTTGCCCAGATACCTCACAGGAAGGGGATTGAGAAATCCATGAATTTTCTCTCCCCTATATCCTACAACCTTCCTAACCCCAATGCCCTCCCCCTAGGGACTGCTGAGAAATGCTGCTTTCTCAAGAAAGGTATGGGTAATACTCTAAGATGTTTAAATCACAGATTGCCCCTTGGATGGATCTGTAACTCAAATTAACCAATTACTTAAGTGGTAAAAGAAAAGAGAAACATCTCCTTCTAGGACTGGGTAAATGCTTTCAGGCTGGTAGCCTCTCTAAGAGCCTGGCTTACACAAAAGAAAATCTTCTCTGTAGGACCCTGCATTTGTCCCCAGCCTCAAAGAACTCCCACAGGTAATTTTCTGTAGTTATTATTATTACTACAGAGCAGGCTGGTTGGACTGTAGGAGGGAGTTGAGAAAAGGATGAAAGATGCACCCTCGGAGTGCCAAGCCAGGGAGGAGCAATGAGTCAGTTCCGGAGAAGGCAGTGACACTTCCAGGTCCGGGCGAAGCAGAGTTGTCCAGAGCGCTGCAGAATTAGCATGGGGAGATGCTCTCAGCGTAGGGCATCGGGGATGGTGAACCCTGACTAGGTAAGTAGGTGAGGATGCGTTAGAAAATAAAGGTAGTGAAAGCAGAGCTGAAGCTAGCATGAGGTTGGTTAATGAAATGCAGGTTGTGATGTCCTGTCTGCTTACCCAAAAGGTAACAAATTTGACCTTCAGATTTCTGATGGCAAACACAAACTAGAAAACATGATCACTTACTTTCTTTTATAATGTTCATTAAATTTTAAAAAAACTATTAAAATAACAGTAATACCACTACTGCTGCTACTCTTACCACTGCTTCCACCATTAGTGAATACTGTGTCATCGCTTTAAACACTTCATTCTTTACTCTTAAGAACAACCCCACGAGGCCAGTTATCCCGATTCTACAGATACGGAAACTGAGGATTAGAACGTTAAGTAACTTGAGCAAGTCACTTAGCTGTTAAGAAAGTTAGGGAGCCAGGATTTGAACCTAGGAGGTCTGTCTCCAGAACCCACACTCATTGTCCTTGGATATTAAGACCAAAGACACAGAATGCCCACAGGCTGTCAGAAAGCATATGCTGCCAAGCAGGGCTACTCCAAATGTGGTCTGCAGACTGGTGACATGAGTGAACACTCTGGGGAGATAAGTAAGGAAATTAACAGTAAGCATTTAGACACTTTTATAAAAACGTAGCATTCCTGTGATATCCAAGCACATGACCATTTTCCAACTAATTAATTGTGTTACATTTTACAATGCATTGGAGGGGAGGGAGGATGACAAAAAACTTGTCTTCCACCCAGATAGTTCAGAAGCATTGCAGTACAGTGGGGGGGAAAATTATTTCACTATCCTATCTTTAAATTATGCTGTAGACCAAAAATGACATGATTCATATGCAGCCCTCTGATGGTTTGGCTTCTAAGCTTTTTCCAAACATGTTAGACGTTATACTCTGATAACTGCATTGAAATGTACATCCAAGCTCTTCAAGTCATTGCACTTGCAGGTCAGATTCGTAGATAGCTGCTATCCTGTCAGCTCCAACTCATGGCAACCTTATGTACAACAGGAAAAAAACAAACAAAAATAAAAAACCACTGCTCAGCCTTTCATCATGATCACTGAGATATCCAAGTCCATCGCTGTGGCTATTGTGCCAGTGCATCTCACCAAACACGAAGTACTCCTCCAGGGACTGACCTCTCCTAATGTGTCCAAAGTAAGTGAGTTGGACAATGCTCTGTTGTGATCCATAAGGTTTTCATTGGTTAATTTTTGGAAGTAGGTCACCAGGCCTTCCTTCCTAGTCTGCCGTAGTCTGAAAGCTCCTCTGAAACCTGTCCACCATGGGTGACCATTCTGGTATTTGAAATACCAGTGGCATAGCTTCTGGCATCACAGCAACACGCAAGCCACCACAGCAGCACAAAATGACAGGTCTGTGGTGTCACTGGCTAAAGGTTCTGGCCAAGACATGTCAACTTGACCACATGATTAAAATTGTTCCTCATTTTTGCTCAGAAGTGGGCCAGTGGTAAAATTTCTTTTCCAAAGAATTCCCCTCTGGATTTAGGCTATTAATCTCCTCTGTTCTAACCATTCACAGCATCTCATCTCACTCATCCCTCTTATTGCTAGGCTTATCTCTTCATGGGTCTCTCTTCTTTACAGACCATGAACCCCTAGAGGGCAGCAACCTTATTCATTTTTATATCCCCAGCACAGAACAGGAACCTAGTAGAAGCTCTGTTTGTTGATTGATTCATAGCTTTTCCCGTGGGCTCTGCTTCAGGGCATTTCTAATGTGAAGTTGATTGATTTTAGGGCTGCAATCAATTGACCTTAGTTGAGCCTACAAAATTGCACTGCTAAAAGATTTAAGGGAAATACTGCTTACAATTTGTGCAAGCCCCAGTTGTGGGTAAAAGAATCTTATTTCATAATAGGCTATTATGAAAATAAGACTTCTGAGTCCCACTCCCAAAAAGAAGCCTCCTACAGGCAGTATCTTAGCACTTAACTTTTTCTTCCCCCATAGTCTGCTCTGCAGATCTGTACATGCACCCCAGCTGACTGAAGCTTTTACAACTTATACAAGCTACTGTTAAATAAGCCTTTAATAGTTGTATTTAGTTTCACTTCCTAATTTATATTTACACACATCCTCTGGTGGCCCTGTGGTTAAAGCATTGGGCTGCTAACCAAAAGGTTGGGGGTTCAAACCCATCAGCTGTTCCATAGGAGAAAGATGAGGCAGTCTGCTTCCATAAAGATTTACAGCCTTGGTGTAAGTATATCCAGGTGTATAGTAGAGCTACAGTGAGTTTGGTTTTGGTCTTTTTGGATAGTAGAGCTGACAAGGCACAAGGCTGTAGTCACTTCTTGGCCACAGCCACTACCTGGAGGGAGCGAGTAACTGGATCTGTGGACTTGGGACCATGGTCTGAAGGGACATCAAGCTCAACTGGCATAACATACTACACAAAACATCATTCCACATCCTACTTTGGTGAGTAGCAACTGGGGTCTTAAAAGCTTGCAAACAACCATCTAGATGCAATGATGGGTCCCTCCTCCTTCCAAGACTCATGGAAACCATTAGTCCAAGGGACTGGTAGACCATGCGATCCTCAGTCTATATGACCACAAGACCAGAAGAACTAGGTGGTGCCCAGCTACCCCCTTGTTGGGGGGGATGGGTATAGGAGATACTGCATAGAGTAGGAGAACAATGTACCACAAAATTCAAAATCATAAAAAACAAAGACCAGGTTTGCTAGTGTAATAGAGCCTGGTGAGACCCCTGAGACTATGGCCCCTAGCCACCCTTCAGGTCTGGAACTGAATTCACTCCTGTGGCTTCCAGCCAAACAATAGACAGGCATATGGGCTGAACATTTACATCAGTTATTTGGAGCAATCAATCATGGGAGAACAGAAGGGCAGTGTTTGCACAGAGAGACAGCTTAGGGGGCTGGAGTGCATGGGAGGGAAGGACACAGGGAAGAGGTAACAGGAAGAGGAAGTGGGAAGAGAGCTGTAACATTGTGGGGAATTGCAGTCAATGTCATGAGACAAAATGTGGATGAACTGCTGTAGGGAAAAAGAATTTGTTCCGTAAACTTTCACCCAAATCACAATTAAAAAAAAAAAAAAAGATTTGCAGCCTTGAAAACCTTGTAAGGTCACTATGAATCAGATTGACTCAATGGCAATGGGTTTTACTACACCTCCTTCTCAGGTGAAAGTATGTCCCAGAGTTTTTGTTCATTATAAGATAAGATACTCTTTGTGCAGGCCTGGTTTGCAACAGGAGTACAGATTTAATACTGTTCTCCTCTAAGTCACTTTAACTTGACTTGGCAAATTCCCTGTATTCTCTGCATACAATTCCCCTTTTCCCTAAAACAGATTTTCTTTCCTTGACATGCAGAGTAGGACAGAGGTCTAAACTAAGACTCTTGGGTCATCCTTTGCTCATTTCTTTTTCACATTTTTTGAGCCAATCTCTCTAAAATCTTTTATATTTTTACAAATCTGAACTTGCAGAGTATTCTCCTCTGTAGTCTTCAGTGTGCTACTCCTCCAGATCTTCCTGTTTTCTCAGTATATCTAACACTCAATTCCATTCCCATTACTCTGCCCCCAAGTTTGATTAGGGTTATTTCCAAATCAGAAATGACTTATTTTATACATATATAAATAAACACACATACACACATATTCATTATACTTCAGTCTAAAATTCAAGTTCAAGTTGGAGACTGCAAAATTCAGAAATGATTACACATATGCCAAGAGGCACTGGCCAAGGATCTCCTATACCTAGTGTCTAATACATGTGAAATACCTTAAGAGAAATTGCTGAATTTAAGGAGATTTTCTTTTCTAAGGATAGGAATTGGGCAATAAATGGTAATAAATAATACTACATTTTAGAACTTCTAAAATATTGAGTTACATAGGGCAGCTATTTATATATTCATATTATATATGGGGAATCAAGTAGAAATACAAAATCTTATTGACGTTCACACAGATAAAGTTTTTTAGGACCAAATGTTCTGACATCCAATTCAGTATTCTCTCTATATATAGAGAATAGAAAAGCTTCAGATAAATACCTATCAAACTGAAAGACACCTTTTGTGGTAGTTTAGTTTGTGTGTCAACTTGGCTGGGCCTGGTTGAGTGGCTGGGCAGCTGGTCGTAGTTATTCTCCATGATGAGACTGGCAATCAGCTCCATGGTGGGAACTACTACAAGCAGCTGAGTAGCTACTTTAGGGATGTGGTCTGCTTCCTGCATATGAGCAGCAGCTTTGGGAATGGTTTCTAGCATATGGCAGGCTTCAACCCTGCATGTAGCTGAGTCATTGTTCAGCAGCCTGCCATGCTCTACCAACCTTGGGACTTCTGATGGACTTGAATTGATGGCCTGCCATGTGGTTTGCTAACGTCGGGACTGTGCCTTTTTACTTGTTAACCTTGGGCTTGTCTGTCTCAGCAGCCAGCAGCTGCCTGAGTGAAGAAAAGCCTCTAGCTTCAGTGGGCCGGGAGCAGGAGGCAGAGCTTAAGCCCAAGGTTGAGGGGCTTTCACACAGCGCCCAGAGCTTGACACTTTGAACTTGGACTTAAAGCCTCCAAATTGTAATGATAAACTCCTGTTTGTTAAAGCCATCCCACTTGTGGTATATTCCTGTCAGAGCGGCACTAGGTAACCAAAACACCTTTATATAGAAATTCACCAGCCAATAGCAGCAAAACAAACCAATCAGAGACTTCAGTTACAAAAAATTTACAACTCTAAGTGTGGAATCCATTTTCAAACTCACCTTTTAGAGTTTTCAAGTGTTGAACAGCCATTCTTAAAATTGTAAGTTTGTCCAGTTTGCGTACCATGGGATTGCACTGAGGGATCATTGCAGACAGTTCTTCGATCAGGTTATTAATTTTATCTCTCCTCCGCTTTTCAGTTTGGCTATGAGCTTCTCTATGAAGGAGAGATTCAACAGACCCACAGTTACCCAGGAGGCACTTACATCTGAAGTAGATGTTCACATGAACATGAGCCCAGCAAGCACACTGTTCCTCCTCCCAAACTTGGCTCTGTAGTTGCCCTTTAGGGAAGAGGAAGGAGCTGCTAGGAACAGGAATAGCAATAAAAAAGTCTGCATTTCTTTTACCTCATTCCCTATGCTTGCTCTTCCCTCCGTATCTAATTTCCTTAAACCTTCAAGAACTAAGACATCTGTCCAAGACCCACAGTGGTTTGTCTACTTCCTTCCTATCTTAGAGGAAGAGGTGTGTAAGCTTCTATTCAAGTTAATTCCTCTCTCAATTAGCTTAAACAGTTATATGCATCTGAACCTCATCCTCTCTCAGCTCCTTATCATGGCTCTATAAATATGCTCAAGTCTTCTAGAGGGAAAAAAATCCTTTCTGTAATTCTAGCGTTTGTTGTTGCTACTGTTTTCCCTTCTCAAGCAAGCTTCCTGAAGAGTGAAGTCTCCACTCAATCTTTCATTTCTCATCTATTAAAATCGAGCTTCCACATCACCATACCACCAAAACTATTCCAGCAAAGGTCAGCCTTATGCAATCCCTGAGCTGATCCCAGTGTGGAATCTGACTGTGATGCTCTTCTGAACGCACCTCTTCCAGTCTCCCTGCCCAGCTCCTCCTCTATCCTTAATGCTGGTATTCCTCAAAATTCCTGACTTGGCACTACTTTTTTCTCTTTCTATAGCTTGTCCCTAAGAGAGCTTACTTCCTCACAAGGCTTTACAACTACTCTTAAGGTACTTAATACTCAATCCCTATTTCATTCATACTTAACCCAGTTCCAGATGTTTTAAACTAGACTTCAGTACTTCAATGATTCATAAGCACACTAAAACTCAAGGTATCTAAAACTGAACATAATTCTACCCAGTTTACTCTGGTTCAACTCTCCTTCTTTTACTTACCCTGTTTATTCTTCCTTCTATAGGGTTATCTTGGTTGGCTATAACAGTAAACTTATTCTAGACCTTTTCCTCTCCTTCAACCTGAAGAGCCAAAAAATTACAAACTCCTGTAAATTCTAGTTTTTAAAATATTTAAGTCTGTCTGCTCCTCCTCTCCATCCATTCTGCCATTGCTTTAATTTAGTTCCTTATTATAGCCCGTTGCACTACCCCAAGAGCCTTTTAACCTGATGTTTCTTCTAGTTTCTTCTTCTTCCAGAATAACTGTACTAAAACAAATCAAATTATCTAACCCAATTGCAGAAAACTGCTCAATGCATTTCCACTAAGAGGAACAGCCAAATTCCCTAATTACATACTAAAATTCTCCATGCCCTGACTCACACCTTTGTCTTCAGATTCATCTCTTCGTGTCTTTTCTCTACAACCCCAAATTTTATACAGTAGCAATACCCAACAACTTGCTAGTCTTCAAGCATGCCATGTTGTCTCACATCTCCATCATTTCTGACTCTTTACAAGGCTTTGAATATCCTTCCTGTGGTAGTTCAGGTTGTTGTCAACTTGGCTGGGCCTTGTTGAGTGGGTGGGCAGCTGAATATAGTTATTCCCCATGATGAGACTGGCCATCAGTTCCATGGTGGAATCTACTGGAGTAGCTGAGTAGCTGCTTTAGGGATGTGGTCTGCTTCCAGTGTACAAGCAGCAGCTTTGAGGAAGGTCTCTAGCTTTTTGGCACATTTGAACCCTGCATGTAGCTAAGTCTTCATTCAGTAGCCTGCCATGCTCTGTTGATCTTGGCACTTTCAATGGGCTTGACTTAATGGCCTACCATGTGGCCTGGTAAGATAGGGACTGTACCTTTTTACCTGTTGACTTTGGGTTGAAGCCCAAGGGCTTTCACCCAGCCCCTAGAGCCCAGCACTTTGCACTTGGACTTCTAGCCTCCAAAACTGTAAGAGAATGAATTCCTGTTTGTTAAAGCCACCACCGTTTGTGGCATATTTCTGTCAGAGCAGCACTAGGTAACCAAAACACTTCCCTTCTACATTCTTGGGAAGTAGTCTTTTTTCATAACATAGCTCAGTTATTATTCTTCAAGGAAGCTTTTCCTGACTACTGTTGTTGTTATGTGCCATCTAGTCAGACCCGACTCATAGCAACCCCTCCTTGGGTTTCCGAGGCAGTATCACTATGGAAGTAGATTGCCCCATCTTCCTT